CCCATACCCACCCATACCCCCCCATACCCCCCCGCCATCGCCAAAAGTTTCTCAGCGGAATTGGGCTGTACTCAGCAAGCGCAGTACAGCCCCCAACTCAGATTTGAAAAAAAATCAGTGGATGGTTGTTTTCTGACTGGTCAGCTGCAACACGGTCGGCGGTCGGGGTCGGCCGTCGGCAGGGATGCAACCCTGACCCCAGGTCCGAAAGACAGAAGCCAGTGCCGTTACCAGTACTCACAGAGTACTCACAGAGATTCTGTTCTGCTCATTTCTGTAGTGCGCAGGCTCGGCAAGCTGCAAATTTTGCTTCGACAAAGAAGGTGAACAAGCAGGATGAAGATGGTCGTGGAGAAACCAAAATTCAAGGAGGTACAAACATAACCAACAACGGAGGAACTTCAAAGAACCCAAAAGAGAAACAACAACAGTCAATGTCATACCTTAGAATCCCTTGCAGAAGACGGTTACCACCTTTCGACCCCGCAAGTTCAGCTGACAGCTTTGAAATATTCCTTGCGGCTATGAATCCTTCCTCTCTGGGCAAACACCAGCGGATAGTTTCCACAAGTAGAATGCTTGCAAGCTGCACAGACATGCACACATCGATATTGACCATTAAACTACCTGTAAAACACCCATTCTCTCTCTCTCTCTCTCTCTCTCTCTCTCTCTCTCTCTCTCTCTCACACACACACACACACACACACACACACACACACACACACACACACGAGACGGATTGTTGTGACAACATGAAGATCTTCTCCCTCCCCAATCAAGATCCATTCCAACCTTCCAAACATGGCTGCAACTTCTAAGATAGCCATCTTCTTTTTGCTTGTATCAAAACAATGACCATTTCTCGTTGATTACCCAAATCACCGATTTTTGCCAAGATCAATGCGGCAGAGGTTAGCCAGCACTTCCTTTGTCCGTGCCTCGGCCAATCCTCAGAAGTGATGATATGATATTATATGTGGTGTTTGAAAGACATTCCACGATGCAGACCCCAAATTCGAATTTCAGGGTCAAGCTCTCAGGCCAAGGGAGGCCAAGTCGGCCAGTTCAGAAAGGTAACAGTCGGGTATCTTAGGAGTCAAGCCCAACAGGCACCCGGTGAACAGTCACATCCCAGACGCAAAGGTTGCATTCTATAAGCAAAAGGCACGGTTCCACAGGTGAAAAGTCGTGACTCACAGACCCAAGCAGCAGCACACCAATGAAAATTTGGGAAAGTACCATGCCTTGACATTCCGAAGCAAGCAGGCCGTGGGCATGTGGTACCGGGTCCAACTCAAGCCAAAGGAAGCAGAGACTGGGATGAGTTCAGGCTCAGTCCAAGTCGATATAAGGACTGGCCAGCCACATTTCAGGGAGATTGCTCAGTCGTGAGAAGTGTGTAAGTGCTGCTGAAGTGCTTGTGCACTATCTGCGAGTAGCATGCGAGAGTCCTGCTGGGCAGCGCTGCGTTGAGAAAGGAAGGTGATAGCGGAATGTATTCAGAGTCAAGATCTTCAAGTAGGGAGAGTGAGTAGAGAGAGAGTGAGTGCATGCATGAAGAAGGCCGAGAGAGAGAGGGGGGGACAGAGAGAGAAGAGAGTCACCTACCTTGGATGAGGATTGCTGGAATCAGGTTGCTGAACTCTGCGCTGATGAGTGCTGGTGACTGGAACTCTGTAACTGCTTAATAAGATAATTTGTTGGAAATTCTGAGCTGCGCTTATCTGGACTTCGCATCTCTGGTCTCCATTGCGGACTTTGTGTGATCTCTCATTGTGTGTGTGCTCAAGGTGACGGGCAGTGAGGCTAAATGCAAGTGGTATCGGAGCAGGTACTCGCTGCATCCGCTGGTGACAGAGATGAGCAACGGGTATCCAGACCCACACCCACCCGCACACACCCCATCCACGAGGCATTGGGTCAGGTGTGTGTCTTGACAAACTGGCATGGGTAGGATGAGGGTGGGTCAAGGCGAGCAAGCCTGGGTGGGTGACGGGCTGGTCGATGTTAGGCCAGGGTCACCCGAATGGGTGGGTGACAAGCGGGTGAGCGCTAGGCCTGGGTCACCCAACCCACAGACCCAGGACAACCCATAAGAACCCTCCCCCCCACCCCCCCCTTATACATATTTCCCAGC